TCCCAAAGCTCCCCATTTCTTTGCCCACTTCATGATATGATGAATTGTTGTTGTCGTTCTTTTAATTGCTTTCCATTTTGCGTCATATCTATCAGCACAAAGAAAATGGGGTTTGTTGATAAATAAAAAAAAGGGTTTGTTGATAATGGTATCTATTATTGGGCGTATCTTTGTGAAAATCAATCAAATAATATATTTTACTACCAAATTTGTTTTAATCGAGAGCATGCTAATAAATTAAGTGCCCTGAAGCACTTTTAGTCAACCCACAATCCTTGAAAGAAAATAATAAAATGGAAATTACATATGAATATATTGAATCATCAATTCATCATGCATGAGCAACCATGGGAACATAATCTTTTGTCATAAAAAGTTACAAAATTGCATTATATATAATGTTGTAAATTAGTATGAAAGTAGCATAGAATAAATGATATACAAAAATGTGCATTTTGATGACCAATATTACCATTACCAAAAGCATAAAACTAATCCAAGCGGACAAGAAAATCATACACAAAAGTTGCAAGATGACAGCAACGACCAATGTATAGCTTGAACGGAATTCATTGGATGTGTCTACCAACTCATACAAACGTGAGAAATCTATATGCAAGAAAACTTTCTCGTACTCTTATTTATGGGCCAAGTGTTAAACAATTCGAAATTTCTATCACTCGGGATCACTCATCTTTTCATATTGACAACAAAAGCCCTATTAAAGCGATCATCCCTTCTAAATAATTTTCTCAAAGATTATCGACAAAAAGAAAACAAACATAGAATCATCATTGTTAATGCTGACCGACACTCCGGGATGATCATTTTGAATAAACACTCATACATTGACTACTAACATGTAGATACTTAGGAAGTGCGAATGGAAACACAATGCTCAAGAGAGTGTTAGCTAGTAGAGATCATATATGTTGAAGGCTTGGAGCAAAGTCAACAAGTTAGTATCACCTAACTCATTTATGCTTCCAAATCTCCTTTTTTTTTAATAATCTTTTGGTCTCCAACTTCGAGTCCCACCAGCCGATCAAGGTCTTGATTATCTTTTGACTATTCTCCTGATCAAATAATTAAGATAAGGGATACTCATCACTTCGATACAAGAATTTCCTCCAACAGCATCTTAATTAAGTTGTAAGATAGAAGTGATTGAGAGACCATGATTGAAAGTGAGGATGGATCAAAATCAAAAGCATTGCAACTAAGTGCACAAGATTATATTGTGATGTAGGTCTTTTAGAGGGATGGAGGAGAGGTAATAGCCCACATAATCTTTCCCATTTTCCCAATGTTTAAACATATATAACACATACGATACGATCAGACGTGTAAGAGTTATAGCGCCTCGTATACTAGACGTAACTCCGTCACTGACAGAAAGTATTTACATAAATTCTCTGTCTTAATTTCTTTTTGATGAATACTATGGGTTATGCTTATGCATGCATGGAGTTGACTATATAGACATGGAGAGAATGGAAGTAAAGTACACCGACGAAATTGATCATTAATGACCACTGTCGAAGCTTAGCCGGCCCGCAACCAAAATCTCGTGGCAAAAAAGTACCAAAATCTTTGGTGCACCGACGGATCCATATTTTATTTTTGCTATGCTATATGCACTTACTTGCTTTGCTTGCTGCCGCTGTGCAGTTGTGAAGTGTGTGGCACCGACGGATCCAATTCCAAATCAAACTTATACTGTGAGCCTCTCTATATACCGGTGCTCTTAATTAATTATGTGTTTTCATTATTGTGTAGTTTGATTAAGATGTGAGGATTAATGTATATTAAGCACCTTTTGTCCTTACCTTTTAAGAGTGGGATGACAACTGATTAAGAAATAAATGTACTTTTTAGAAGAAATTTGTTGGCAAGGTGAAGGTCTAATTAAGTAGGATTAAGAATTTAAGATTGAGTCTTTTCACTTTTCTGGAAGTTTCTTCGTGGTGGTCAGAATCTGGAAGTGTAAAATCGTAAAACAAAGCATGTAGTATTATTTTGTGTAGATCCCACCAACAATCAACAAAAAAAAATTATGCATTATACGATCTCAACTAAAAGTTGAAATTGTGGGTTTCATATTTGAGTCTACATTTTCCTTTGATTTATATATATCCTTAGTAGTTTTATTTTATATTAAGAGTAGAGGGTAAAGTAACTTTTATCCATAAAGTATGTAAATCAATCCATAAATTAGAATCTCAACATTAGTAAACGATATATGATCCACAATCGAACATCTACCATATTGGGATCAACTTGTTCTTGACATCGTATCATAGCCTTTTGTGACCGAAAGGTCTCCTGTTCGAATCTCGATGACCCTATCTGTTTCTGTTTCTGTTAAGCACATGGTGTCCGGACCTGTGCCTGTGCAAACTCCAAGCATATCTGAGTGGGTTAAGTTTGAGAGGGTGTGTTAATAAACAATATATGATTCACAATTGAAACTCTTCCTATAGCTCGAATTATTGAGATCAACTACTTCTTGACACTCAATAACCAAATAATATATTGTCAAAATGCATCTATTATACTATTATAATGATTAGTACAATACAAATTCAATATTTGCAGCTTTCAAACCACCCATAGTTAATTAGATATTGCATGTATCTTCTTTGAGCCAAGTGCAAGCCCTAAGCCAACCCTTTTCTTTTCATACCCTTCCTTAATTCTTTGAGGAAGAGAACCCTTTTTCTCTAGTCGAGTACTTTAAGACTAATTATGATCATAAGGAAAAGCAGAATGTCAATGATGGAGTTCCCTCGACAGGAGAAAATGAAATCATTATTACATCCCACTGAGGCACTAATTTGTACGCCCGCAACCATTCCTATCATCATCACCCCCATCGATTAAAAATTGATTAATCATTAATATTTCGTTAACATTGATTATTCACGTCAATTCTTTGTATGAAAAAATTCTATTAAAAACAATCCTTACTTGTTATTCCTCCGTAGAAAACATATTCGTATTGACATAAAGCATATTTCATACGTGTGAAATGTATGTTCGTCATTTTCACAACTTGTATTCCTCCAATTTCTTCTTTATCTTCTTTCACTTACTTTTACATATCGGGTGCTCCAACTTCCACTATCTCCAATATTCTACTGTTATATTCTCTCTTCTAATCCCTAACCTTGTCCCAAAATTATTGGATCTGTCTCTTCACTATCCTTCTAATACGTCCCTTAATATCGATTTTCTACCAAAATCAAGGATATAGTATAAGACCTAGCTCCCATTTAAATATTGAACAAAAAACCTCCCAATCAGCATAAGACTCTAATACCATATCAATCATCAATTCGTCCAGAGAAGTTAATTGTTCAATAAAACATACATACAAAGAACCTCTCACGCACATCACCACCATCACCATAGCAAACTTTCATTAAAAACAACGAAACATACACCACAACTATCCTATCCAATGCCAATGAACCCTACAAAAAAGAAGGACAATTGAAGATTGGAAAACTAAAAAGTTATCAACTTTGTTGGTGGGTAGGGCAGTAATGACGACTCACTTATTGCGGCATGGCTCAATGACTATATGCTTGCCTGTCCACGGGTTAGAAAGTAGAGGAGATGTGATGAATTGTGGTAAAGGAAAGAGTGGGGGAAAACAACAGGAATGATTTATTGTGAAACATAGGGATCATATGTGTAAACAAATGTCTCCTCTAGTTTCCCATACAAAATAGTTTCTGAAAAATGATGAAACATGAAAGTATTAAATTGGAGGGTGGGAAGAAAAGGGTTGGTTGATATTGTTAATTTGCTTGACAAGAAAGGAAGTGCATGTGGGTGAATTTGAAAGCATTTACTCCCCACTCTTATGAGGGTTTTGTTTCCTTCAATGTTCTGTCCTTTTTCTTCGGTCGGGGCAAGTTAGAGTGTTAACTCAATAGGTTAGAATCATCATAACTACTATAATTAATTAATTATCGTTCATTGTTTTTAAATCAAAATTAATAAAATAATTAAAATAGTTTCCCATCCAAATAGTTTCTAGAAATGATGAATCATGAAAGTTTTAAATTGGAGGGGGGGGGGGGAGAAAGGATTGATAGATGTTGTTTGCTTGACAAGGAAGGAAGTGCATGTGTTGGTATTTGAAAGCAATTACTCCCCACCCTTCTTACTAGGGTTTGGTTTACTAACATGGTTTGCTAAATTTTGGCCAAAATTACAAAGATTACTTGAATTACTGATCAATTTCTTCTTCTTTTTTCATTGAATATTACTGATTAATTTCCTGACAACATATGTTGTTTGATATCTACTCCGGTCTGGATAATGGTTTATCGGAATGTTCACTTGCAACTTAGCACGTACCATAATAAGAAAGTTGAACACCAGCACGTTGTCCGACGAGGTGCATCAATTTAGAAACTTCAGTAGTAGGGTCTCTGGACGGTCTTAGAGGTTATTAGTCAGTGATGCTAACTAGTGGTGGAGCCACTTAAGATAAAGGAAGGTCCTTTGCACCACATTGGCTCAAAGACGTAACATTAAACCTTTGTTTCACTTCTAATTAATATAAATATGATGTAACTAAGTTTAGTATAAACATAAATTCAAAAGTCAGCAACGTTTATTGCTACCAGTTGTCATTACAAGCGCTGAACGAGCACGAACAACGTGAGCTTCAATTGCAGATGAATGATGAAATAGTAGGACACCTTAAGAACGATATCCCAATGATAAATTATCAGTCCAATATTGTCACGTTCTGACGCGTAGGGAACATCTAGCGCCTTTAAGGTTTTCATCAACTCTGTCCTTCTAACGAGTAGGGAACATCACAACGCCTTTAAGGTTTTCATCAACTTCATGTTCCTTTTTCATGGCTCATGTACTGTATAATGTATGATTCACTTAATAGCCGTCGACGACTAGTTCCAAACGAAACCCAGTTGTAGACTGAGCATTCAATAGGCCACAGAATGCCAACCATAACTAGCCACTAGCCAAAGAATGGTCCAACATCAAAATGACCAAAAACATTTCGGTCCCTGTCACTGGACTAATCACATATATTACATCGAAACATAAACCTGGGATCCACTACAACACACTCAACATCTTATCTGAAGCAAAAGGCTTAGCTAGATTCGGAATTAAAGCTGAAAAACACAAGCAAACAAGGACATCTCAAAACCATCCAAAATGAAGAATCGGGTCGACATGTTCCAACTTCATGCCACCATACATAAAAAGGTACAGCCTACCTTTGCTCATAAATCATCTACAGAACACATCAGGAAATGACCGAACAGCTGCTATCCGCGCAAAGTTCAGACCGTTAAACAAAGCAGTGCACAAAGTAATGCTCGATAACTCAATACAGTACTCCCAGTACAGAACGAATGTTATCTTACAGATGCGTAGTAAGTTTCTCCATCAAAATTTGTTACAATCAACACCCTGGCTTTTGCATCCCCTACTGGGGGCACCGACACCGGTTTAGAAGTGGAAAGGTAAAGCAAAGGGAGAGTATGTTCTTGTAAGGAAGGGGAATAGGAGGAATGGGGAAAACATGATGGAATTGCAGTAGCAATGGCCTCTTGCCCTTGCAACCCACCCAACTAACTTGAATATCTACTTTCTCTCTCAGCCTTGGATATGTATTCCTTTTCCCTTATCATCATCGACTTGCTCGAAAAATGTTTGTTGGGTCATGCAGTCGTCACAACATATGTCGACTTTCTAAGACGTGGATAATGTACAAAAACAGGCATTTCATTCTACAAAGAAAGAGCAAATATGAACTCACATTTTCATCTCCTGGCTTCACTCCCAAGTCGCTTCTCTTCTGTTCTGTGACGAAACAACTTAGCTATGGCTCTCCTTTCACAATCCTGCAAAATATCGAATCACCATATCAAGCTATTGAGTTGGCTACTGAGTGCTTGAGAATGGTTTTCAATGAACTTTTGACGTCAATGGTTTCACCTTGAACATATGGAAGTAAAACGGTTTGCTGGGATTCATCTTTCTCAACTTCTGGTACGTATAGGCAAAGCTCAGCTGGTCACGGGGAGTAAAACGCTCAACCTCATTGTACCATAGACAGGAGAACAGATTCGACATGGGGGTGTGTGCTCTCACGATTAATGATCCTTCAGGTACATCTACATCAAAATGGAAACAAATCGTCAGGAAGAAATTGAAAGAAGACTAAAGTTGAGATAGGGATGGCAGATCTTACTGCTCGGAAGAAGCTTGTTAGGATCAGAGGGATCGAATTTCGTCAGCCCATCTGATTGGTAGAAGGCGAATTGTTCGTCTATTACAGTGTGATTGTACTTGTTCAGCCTTTTATTCTGTACAACCTCTTCCCACACACAATGGCGATCATAATGATTGGAAATGGCATACTCATGACCTTTTCGCCATAATAGATACTCCAGGACCAAAAGAGGATCAAGTTGTAGGCGTAACTTGCTATCCAACCAGATTGAATATCTGAGCAAAATCAATGCAATAAACAAAATCACATCATTTATTACTTGTGATACTAGAATTCTCACAAAATAAAGCGCAGGTAAAAGTTCAAACACTAGTCAGTATAGTGATAGAAAAGACATAGTTGTGTTTGTTTCAGATTGAATAACTGGTTTTGAAGTTCAGTTTACCTAGACAAACAGACAATCTAACAGCTCAAATGGAATTAAGACACCATTATCTATTATAATATCCACCACATTATATCCATTTGAATGCACATTGACTGATACTTTCAGAATTAATTCTCACCTCGCAGAAGGGAACAGCCTGTGTGGCAATAATTTCGGTATTTTACCAACCCTCCGCATATCAGTATAAGGTAAATTCTTCACCAGTACAACCTTCCACAGACCAACAAATCCTGCCGTGTCTGGCATATTGCCCTCAGAAGATAGTGTCTGCAATGTAGCTTCGTCCACAAACATGACAAAGCAAACATTTTTCCTTGACAAACGAGTGACCTGAAAAAGCAGGACATGAATTCAAATTCGTATCAGTGCGTTAGAATTAAGAATTGTCTGCCAAAGTAAAATAACCCGCAAAATCATAACAAGTAGAATTCATTGGCAAGAAGGAAAAGTATAGAAAACAACCAACATAACAGAGTAGCAACTCTATGGAATATACAATTTGGCAGTGCACTCACAAGCTATGCGCACTATACTAAATTCATCACTTGATTGGCATTATCACATATTAGCAATATTAAAGCAAAGCATTTGCTTCCTATCATGGGCAATTCTCTGACGTTTTCATGTTTCCTCTCACTATCGATTTACGGTTCATAAGCAAAATCGTGATCATACTGTCACGTATTCAAATTTCCTTCCGTTACGATTTTATTGGTGCATAGGCAGTAAACTCATGATCTCGTTGTTCCAAAATGTTTCTTTTCTCCCCCTCTGTTCATCACTAGTTATTAGTGTTCTTAGAGTCATGAGTAAGGGCATACATACCGCCTTGCTGAAAGGTGACCTTAGGCGATCCGAATTTCCAAAGATGCAAGAGATGACAGCAATGTGGCATCTACTGATATAGTTTGCATCATCTTCTGACAGATCAAATCCTGTACTCGGATAGCCTTCAGGACCTTTGACAAAACCACATTTTATTTTCTGATCACGTGCTGAAAAAGATTCCTCCCTTTCTTCTAGGCTCTGATGGCCTGCAAATCTAGGTTCCCAAAGTGCCTCTCCTCCAGGATTTTCCTCCATGTCAGCATATTGGAGGGAAAATCTTGAGAACTTTCTATTTTCAAAAGGCTCCACAAGTTGAGTAGTAGAGTTCAGAAACTTCATCTCACAGGACCCTGTACCATTTGAGCAGTTAATGTTAAGGAAAAAGAGGTTTAAATAAGAATTAGAGCTAATTTTCAGCTAATTATTCTAAGAAAATATAAACCCTGTACAAGAGCTAATTCTGACAACAAAAAGAAATATTTGATAAGTAGGAAGATAACAGAATCTGAACTGAACTTTGTGGTTTAGCAAATATGCCTAAGGGCTAATGACATGATGCTATTGTTAATGGGCACCTTTCTTCTTCTAATTCTATGGGACAATAAATCTCAGGCCGTTGTACAGCATAAGATTTAGAACCCTGTATAAGGGTATTGCCGCACTTGTCTAGAAATATAAATCAATATTACATGCAAAAGATCTTATATCTACAGCTATGAGTTTGGCGGTTATGAATGCCTCCCAACTCAGAAACAATTCCAGATACAACCTATCATCCAGAAGCCAGAAGTTTCAATAACCAAATTCATGGCTTCATTTGAAGGAAAACTTCAAATAAAGAAGAAGAAAAAATCCAAATCTATGAAGCTCACTGAATGGCTTTTCAGTGCTGGTTTGATGTCACAAGAATGTCCATAAGTTCCAATAAGTTTCATAAGTTCCAATAACCAACTGGAATAGTTATTTGGGGGCCATCCAATTTTATAATCGTTTGAACTTAGGGTGGATTGGATGTTTATCAGTCCCCATTACCAAAAGGGCATTCCAAACTTCATTAAATCCAAATCTGCAAAACTCAGATAATGAAAAATCCAGTGCAGAAGAATCTCATAAAGTGTCATGACGTCATCTATTAAATTAACTGGAATACAAACTAGATTCACCAATGGACAACTTCCAAAATATAAGGCCACTTTTAAACCCCAAAAGTCAGGCAAGGACTTCAGAACGACGTCTGGAAGAAAAGGTTTACATAATAAAGGGTATGTGTCCTGAATATGTGCATCCTTTCACACATGCTCTTTCATAAGCTTAAATTTTGAAACTATAACTGTCATATCAAGATCAAGAAACCAGCTAACTTTAAATGCTTGAAGTGTACATCCATCCTGTCCATTGTGTATCACCATGGAACATATGCTTAATGCCCATGCCCCATGGTCAAATTACTTGCATTTAAACCAATTGCATCAATAGCTTGAAGAAAAATATAGTTTTTTTGTGATCCTAAAAGAGAGTTTTTTTGGTGATCCTAAAAGTAACACAACGGCACATGTGAGCAGAAAAATTTATCTCAGCCCCTTAGCAGAAAATTTTATGCAAATGGGAAGCATACACCAAGAATATTACCAGAAAATTTGCGTCGCCTTGGCCTTTTCTTCGAATCAGACCTTGATTTACTCGAACTCTGTCCATTTCCATTTGCATGCTGAGGATTTGAATCAGTATTGACTACTACAGAACTTGATCTCGACCCCTTATCAGATGTACCCTGAGAAGTTTCCTTAATCTCTTTGCCAAAGAGTTGATCCTTACCTTTAGCAGGGAAAACATTAGAAGACTCTCTGGTGAATTCATCAGAGTGGCGCCCATTTCCACGAGAATCATGAGAATCGATACCATCGTCATATTCGTTATCACTATCACCAGCCTCATTCTGCTCTTCCAGATCATCATCCTCAAGTAACTGACTTCTTCCACCATTTTGAGCTGTCGATTGCCCCACACTCCTTATCGAAGCCTCATACTGTGCTTCATACTTTATCAGTTCTTTACGCCCATTTTCATTGTACAACCCAGATCCTTTTTTATCCAACCCCTTAGAATCAACACTCTGGGATGTTTTCGGCTTGACATTCGAGCTAGCTTGATTGTGTTCCTCATGAGCAGATCCACCAGTAGAACCCTTGCCTGTATGCGCTACATCATCTTCATCATAATCATCATCCCTTCTCCTATCGTCCTTATCCCAGTACCTAGAATCTCTGCCATGCGATACCGAACCTTTACCAAACTCAAGGACTTTAACCGAATCAGTACGTGTCACATTTGTAAGAAAATCAAGGTCACTCTTCATATCGTCATCTTCTACACGAGGATCATCTATTTCATTACCAACACCTATATCCAAATCACACAGCAACCAAAATGGAATAAGAACCCCAATGAGATTAAACATGGGTCACATCAGATACATCAGTACAACCCCTCCAGAGCTTTCACAACAATAAATTAAACTCTCTGTCCCAGAAGTTCAAATATAGCAACCAAACTAAATCAATGCAAAGCAAGTAAAATAGCTAAAGACAGAAACCAATGTGGACTCTTCAACACAATTCATCTTCCACTGATCCACTCTAACAAACAGAGTTCCTCTCTCTAATATAAGCAACGCGTATTCGAAAATCTTTTTTGCTGGATAGGGTATAACTGACCTTTATCCTCAGCAGACAAGTAATTATACGCCAGCCCAGTGACCACAAGCACCAGGCAGAGGAAAACAATCACGGCGCCAATGGAGAAGCTGCCGGACCTGCTCTTATCGGATCGACCAGATCGGCGGACCCGACCCCCGGGCTTGTGCTGCAGGAGCTGCTGCTGCGAGGAAGACGCCCGAACCCCAATGGAGACGTGATCCGCCGCGGTGCCGCCGTTGGAGTAATGCTGACCCGATTGCCTGTACTGAGCCATCTCGCCTCCCGCCCTAATCTGGTCAGCAAGGAGTAAGCATTGGCGGTGGCAGCAGCAGGAGGAAAGAAACCTCGTTCATTCCCTGCCTTCTGCTTCCCCCCCGTGAAACTGGATAAGAAGAGGGAGTGGGAGGGAGAGATCAGGTGAGTATTTCGTTGGGGAAGCGGATTCCGGCGAGGAAACTGGCGGAGGAGCCGCCGGATTGGGAGTTTGGGGAATTTTTTTTTCTTTTTCTCGGAGATAGATATGAATAGAAAGAAGAATAAAAAAAAATGGGGTTTGAGTTGAGTAGGTAAGAAATCTATGGAAGTGGTGGAGGGGAAGCGACGTGAATGGGAAGGAAAGGAAACGAGTGATCGATTTGACTCTCCGTCACCGGCGATTCGTGCTTTGCTGGTGGCTTGCGGTTGCGGAGGTCTTCTTTTTCCCTTTTTAAAATTAATGCCGGGGAAGGGTGAGCGGTGGAACTGGGCCGGGTTTTCTCACCTACTTTTGGGCCGGACTATGTGACTCACATTTCTTTTCCTTTTTTTTTAAATATATAATAACAATAGCAATTGAATTAAATTAAATTAATTTTGTATGGTAATAGAATTTGGGTAAATCTTATGATTAGTTTCTGCAAATGTTTTGATTTACGACATACTCACTTTTAGCAATTGCTATCTCTAACCGGTGTGGGCATTGGGTGGGTCGTATGGATTTTGACCATAAAATGCATCCACCCTCGCTTAAACGGATTGATAATTTTTAACCCACCATCCACCCACATTTAGTCTCGGGTTGGGTCGGGCGGATGGTGGATGATTTAGGTGGGTTTGTGGGTTCACCCACATCACAATGTATATAATATAAAGGAGTCAACTTGACATGATAATAGGCGAAGAGAGTTATCTGGGGAAACAAGAAGATGAAATTGGGCGAAAAATGTCAAATTAGTTCTTAAATTGGATAGAAATTCTATTATGAAAGAGTTTTCTACAGATTGAGATAATTATCAGGTGCAAGGAACTAAGAAAAATAATTCCACAAAGGAAAAAGCAGTGATCTAGGCACTAGAATTAGAGGAAAAAATAAAGGGAAGAAGAGGGGATCGCAATTTGGAAGGTTGGCTTTGAGGTTCAAACTCCGAAAGCAGCCCTAGTTTATGTCTAACGTCTCCACTCTCCCCTCTCTAGCGCCTACGACTTTGATCGTTTTGCTGTTGGGTTGAGCGGGTCACCCGCGCACCCACCCACCATCCGGCGGATGGCTCCCAGCGCAACCCGTCACCCACCCATAGACCCACCCACCTAGTGAAATTCGGGTCAAATGCGGGTGGGTCGGCCCAAACCCGCGGATGATCCGCCCGCATGCTCAGCCCTATCTCTAACGTAGTAACGTGCTGCTGAGTTAAGTTCAATACGGACTGGATCATGTTCTTCTTCGTCAATGAACTCTGCAAGATACAGCAAAAAACCCATATAAAAACATGTGTACTATACCTTCAGTTTGGTAAGTCACCTCACGACTCTGCCAACCAAACAGAGTGAACTGAATCACACAAACCATAACAAGTGAGAGAAAGGTGGTCATTGCATTTGCAAGTGCCCCCTGAAATCCTGCAACAAGTAGAAACTAACCACAGAAAGGAAAATGGAGAGAAATTGTCCATCTCAATTCTCATATATGGTTCCCTGATAACTCTCATTCTTGTAAACGATCTTCTGTTTCTTTGAGGGTAGATTTTCGTTAAGTACGAATCCGTCTGCATTTCTTCTTCTCCAAGTAAGCAATGGCCAGCTCCAAAGGAGCCCTCTTCTTGCTGCTCATCCTGTGCTCCTTCTTAATTACCCGCCAGGTAACACATACATTACTTCTTTCTTTGATTCTTCATAGTCATAGGTGTCTTGTTCATGGTTCTCTGTTCGAGCTATCTATCGAGAAATGAAAAGCATCTCATATATGTTTCTAAAATTTCAGTTCCAGTTCCATGCTGCTGTAGTTGATGATGCTGGGAAAATAGGTCGGTGAATCGATTATGACGATGAGTATGCACAATGTGGAATCACTTCTTGCAGCTAACGTTTATTTTTGGAATTTGGGGCTGCAGATTGCAAGGGCAAGTGCAAGTACAGGTGCAGCAAGGCATCGAGGCACAAGATATGCATTAGGGCATGCAACACCTGCTGCCATCGCTGCAACTGCGTTCCGCCGGGCACCTCCGGCAACTACGACACTTGCCCTTGCTACTACCACATGACCACTCACGGCGGCCGTCGCAAATGCCCTTAGTTACTTGCCATTTTTCCTTTCCTACTTTGGGATCCTTTCATCCTGATGCAAACAGCTGATTTGGGTCTATGACATATACTACTGTGCCATATAGGCTATAGCAACGACTGGTCATTATATGTATATGGTGTCCAATATAGCTACACAAAGATTGTGTCGATCAATCTGTAATGATGCTAAAAACTTTGAAATTATAAAATTCAACCTTTGGTTCTATTAGAGTAACTAACCACTCTCTAAAGGAAGCAGTGGAAGGACAAAAACAAACTCAATTACAGACGCAGCAAAGAAGAATAATGCAGATGTTGTACATATCAATAGGAACTTGGCTCGTATTCTCTTCGGCATTATTCTCATTAACAAGTTTGGTTAACTAAAACTGATGCAATGATCAGAGATCGAGCAGAGAAGACATATGGGTTGAGGGCAAGGAAGCAGTAGTGTATTTGTCCAAAGAACAGCACATGGAAGTAATGGAGACTCGAGATTATGTAATAGCAAATAACTAAGATGAACAAATCAGGAGGAGTGGCATCAGAAGCAGAAGCAGAAACTTTTCCGGAATACAAACCAACTCTAATGAATGAATGCAACTTCTATGAAGTAGATCAGTTGTTCTTGCACAGGTGTAACTCTATATATGCCAGGTATCTATGTTTGTAAGCTGCAGCTTACTTTTTGTTTTGTAAACGGTGTTGAATCTCTCAGTCCACTTACCCAGCTGCCTGAAAATCTCCAAAATCATCGTCAACGTTTTCTTGCATGCTTCCCATCTGCCCCTGAGACTGCAGTACCTTTCCCTCTTCCTTCATAGTGGTGCTTGTGTCCAGATCAAGTTTTGGAGGCGAGTTTGTTGGGGTGATGTCCATGGCCCTTACTGGCGAAAGGGGACCTGGTGGGGGTGGGGGAGGTCTAATGCTAAGGATTGGCTCTTTGCTAGCACCCTTCTCCTCCAGTGATAGATTGTTCAGACCTTGCTCAAAAAACTGGGACTTGATCCCACGACCGGGTTTTGGCTGACATTAAAATGAAGAACAGGTATCAGATTCAAAAGTACTGATGAGGGGCAATAAATTTCTCTATGTATAAGTCTTTAGTAGACAATTAGAAACAAATTTCTGAGCTTACATTTTTTATTTGGAGGACAAGGGTTTCCCCTTCTTTTAAACTGTAGTCAAGGCCCGAAGTGTGCTGAAAATGTTGTTCCATCTCTTCTGCAGTTTTCTTCTTGTCCAGGTATCTTGAAAGATTCATTGGGATTTCACCAAAAAAAAAAAGATTAATTGGGATAGAATAAGTAACTACTACCGCATAATACAATAAGTAACTTCAACACTGCTCTATAGAACTATAGAAAATATTTTAGAGACCAAATGCAAAAGAATTTCATAGCCAAAAAATCAGCTAATAGGGACAGTGCTGAACATACTTCATGTGGTCATGCAGTGCTGCCTGAAAGTCATATGCTTCTGTTCTTTCCCGGAACCCAAGTCCAATAAATGCATGCCGAAGTCGACCACCTGCAAGAGTTACTATCAGTAGTAAGAAACTGCGCCGAGGAAAAGGAATAAACCAACCACAACAGATATGATATTCACGAATGGAGAAACTTTTCTCTCATTACTGACAGACGAAGGTATTTATTGCAGTAAGCAATTATCAATAGTTAATCAATGAGGAAACAAATAGCAACGTAGGAAATCGACAGAGAGACTTCGTAGCTAAATTTAATTCAGAACATGTGCTCACCAACGTTTTCCTCTATCCGAAGGACAAAATATCTGCAAACCAAAGAACCCTTGTTCAGAAAATCCCCAAATCTTATTCCAGTAAATGAATATGAGAGAAACAGAAATGCAAACTATTAAGTGAATGCAGCAACCAATCTCTCACGCATCTAGGCAGTACCTGCTGCTATCAACCACAGTTTCAACAGGATGAGGCTCCCCTTTCCTAAGGAATGCCCTTGCATATAGCTCACCTGCATTCAGGAGAGAAAAAAGACAACCCATCAACCAGGAAATATTAAATGCTTTTATGGCACATCCAACAATACCACTTCTTCCTTGGCAGAAACTACAAGGGAATCGAACCTGTGGATTTATCTTCCAGCCTAATAATGCATTCTTCGCCTTTGCTAACAACTTTCAACATCCCCTCCCATGCCCACTTGTTAACGTCCCATTCATCAGCCCTGCCAAACAGCATCACTAGCATAAGTCTGGATAAAGGGAAACACATTGATATTCCTTGTTTGCTTGTTGCTGCCTAGAAAACAGGATTTGATGACATCTTTCATAGTGGCAAAAAAACTCCATACTAGCATTGCATGATTATCAACTATTGACCCTAGTCCAACCATGAACGACCCAAGTACAAACAGAAGTTCAGAAGGAAGTAAAAAATGCTCCACGCTTGGCAATTATATAGACCAAATAAAGACAAAGAAGTCAATTCGAACATAGATTTGGCAGAATTTGAAATAGATGAAACATGTTTCAGAAGATGAGGCAAAACCTGTAAGAACCAGCACTCTTCCTTGGAGGTATCTGCGAAACAAAACGAAAAAAAAAATCAAGTTTGGAAAACATCAAAGGGAAGCAATCTGCAACTCAAAAACTTAAGGCTTCGATCAGTCTTCTCTAAAGAACATTACTTCCTCCCAAAATTCGAAACTTCCTGCATTCTGCCCTAAGAAGGAAGAGAAGATTGGACTAACTGCATATATCTTCTTCTTCTTCCCTTCTCTTCCTCAAAGTTTAAACACCATATATACTGTTAAAAATGGCTACTTTGGGAATTAATCCTCAGAATTCAGGGTGCCCCTAACCTCAAAACAACCTTCAAGCTGCTAACAAACAATTCAAGCCCTGGGCAAGAATTTGTGATCCCTAACATGCCAGTGGCTTAAAGAATTTCCTGAGCTGATCCCTCCTAAGAAATCTATCCACTTAACTAAAAGGAACAGCATAGCTCTCTACTCTAACTCTTCCTACCAGCCGATAATCTAACAAGCAGTTCTCGGAAAACAACAGACTAGATCATTCAATGTTGAGAAATTTTCAAACAACACAGAATCAAGGAAGATCAAGCGGCTCTCACCAGGTAGACGTAGCATTCGGGGACTTTATACAGGACAAGCTCAACGACGTCAGATTCATCACCGCCGCCGACGACCTGCGGCGGTGCCGCCTCTTCCTTGTCCATGATCTACAACCCCTGACTCGCCGCCCACCAAGAGAGGCCGATCGGACGAAATCCGGAGCGATAAGGCGGTGTCGTGATTGTTGGTTTCAGGGGATTGATGAATGGGTTTGGGTAGACAAGAGATCTTTGGAAGTGGAGAAGAAGCGAGGAAGGGAAGGAATGGGGGAAGCGAGTGATCGATTTTGACTCACCGGCGATTAGAGATTTGCTGGTGGCGTGTTTTCCTTTTCTTTTAAATTTTCTATCGGAGAGCAAAGACCGGTGGAATTGGGCCGGGGTTTCTCACCAACTTTTGGGTCGGACTTGGAGACTGACATTCTACCAAAAAATAAAAAACATAAAGAGGTCATTTGAAGAAATTGAATAACGAAATTGTTAAATTTTAGGAAGTGAAGGATTTTATTATTTGGATAATAAAAGAATTTACAGGATTCTCAAATATTTAGCCATTCTTTTTTTTTTTTTTTTTTTTTTTGACGAAAATCTGCACTTGCTATATTAATCAGTTGAAGCGGTTACACTATCCAGCTGGAGCTGATTAACAAGATAATTCGGTGGCCTATCAAACCAAACCAAGCTCTCGTTCCACCTCGACTCTGCATGAGCCATAATATGTGCTGCCTCATTAGCTTCTCTACAGATATGCCGCCATCTTCCATTGCCTATGTCGCTCAACAACCTCCTGATACTCCGACACAACACCCCGACCTCATTCTGTTCCATACTCGGATGCTGCAACTTATGAACCAAAACTTGGCAATCCGTCTCCAGAACTACATCATGCAAATCGTGTTGGAGGGCCAACTGGAGGCCAAACTCTGCAGCCAGAGCTTCGGCAGTCTCCACATCCCACTCTCCCACAATTTTCCTCACCGCCGACATGAGAAACCGGCCATCAGCATCACGCATCACCACGCCCAGACCAGCTCCGCCTTCGCTCAAAATGCCAGCATCAGTGCAAACTGATATGGTTCCTTGGCTCGGCTTTTGCCAGCCTTTCCTCCCCTGTGACTCAGTTTGTTCCATCTTCTTCGCCTGGTTTGCTTGATAGTCTGCTAGTAGGTACTTTGCCCGCACGATGATCTCCTCTTCGGGTAGTTTTGCTCCATTAAACAAGTGAGCATTTCTTTCCTTCCAGAGATACCAAAGCAGGATGCACCATCCGTCAAACTTATCATCCTCTCCTTTTTCCATAGCTGCCTTCACCCAGAGAAAAAAAGATTCATCATTCTTCAACTCAAAGTAATCCACAAACTCAGACTGTCGCCAAATCCTTGAGGCCCATTGGCACTCGCTGAAAGTGTGAGTTTGAGTTTCACACAGATCACAGAACGGACACTTGTCGCTTCTTCGAGGATTCCTTTTATGGACCTGTACTCCCGTCGGCAAGATTTCCCTCATAAATCGCCACATGAACTGTCGCACTTTCGGGGGGATATTCAGGCTCCATAACCTCTTCCAAACTCTCCCTTCCCCATGCGCCACTACTCCCTTGCTTGCTAGGTAATCTGAAAGCCACAGTTTGTATCCCTCCTTCACAGAGTACACTCCAGACTTGCTTTCATGCCACACCAACGTATCAACCTCACCATTTCCCCTCAACGGAATCTGCATGATAGCGCGGGCCACATCCGCCGGGAAACAACTTTCAATCACTGTCTCGTCCCACCGTTCATAATCCGGATCCATCAGCTCCCGCACCGTTGCATCCACAGGTAATCCTCTTGGAGCCGAATGCACATACTGCTGCTGGAGGCCCGGGACCCATCGATCGCCCCATATTCTTGCTTCCCTGCCATCTCCGATCCGCCATCTCAGCCCTCGAACTAACAGTTCTTGTGCACTAAGCAAACTGCGCCACACAAAGCTGGGGCGATACCCCAATGTCGCATCTAGAACTGACGTCCTTTTATGGTATTTTGCCTTCAAAATACGAGCTATCAGGGATCCCGGCCTCTGAATCAAATTCCATAGTTGTTTTGCTAACAAAGCCTCATTGAAACCCTTCAAATCCCGAAAGCCCATTCCTCCATCCTCCTTCGGGTTGAGCATCTCTTCTCTTTTCAGCCCATGTAGTCTTCTTTCCGACGCCCTTTGCCCCCACCAAAAATTCATTATCATACTATGAACATCGTCAATAGTCCCCTCTGGAATGCGGAACACAGACATTGCGTAGCTGAACTGAGCTTGAGCAACCGATTTTATTAGTACTTCTCTTGCTGCCACCGAGAGGGTTCTTTCTTTCCACCCATTCAACTTTTTCCTTAATCTTTCCTTGATTCCTTCAAACAGCTGCTTTTTCGAACGACCAGCTTCCGTTGCAAGTCCTAAATACTTCTGATGCTTATCAACTCTTTTCATGCCGAGCACCCCTTCAATCTCCAGCCTTCTATGCATTAGCACATTTGAGCTAAACGAGACCTCGGATTTCTCGAAGCTGACGGATTGACCTGATTCTTTCTCGTAATCCATCAGTATTTTTTTGAGCTCCTTGCTCTCTTCTATATTTGACCTGGCAAAAAAGATACAGTCGTCAGCAAAAAATAGGTGGGACACAACCGGAGCTCCCCGAGCTGGCTGAACCCCATGAATCCTTTTCTCTTGAACCGCCAGCGATGTGTAAGCTGACAGCCCCTCTGCACAAAGAAGAAACAGGTAAGGAGAGAGCGGATCGCCTTGTCGGAGGCCACGACTTGGTATTAGCAGTTGGGATCGATGGCCATTCACCAGGATAGAGAAAGAGACCGATCGAACACAACACATCACCACCGCCACCCACTTCTCGTCAAACCCCATCCTCCTCATTACCCCCTCCAGAAAGGGCCACTCTACCCGATCATAGGCTTTCGCCATGTCTGTCTTCGCAGCAAGGAAACCTGTTCCCTTTTTACCCTTATTCTTCATCGTGTGAAAACATTCGAAAGCAGCCATAACATTGTCTGTGATAAAACGACCAGGGACGAAGGCACTTTGCTCAGATGAGATAACTCTGTCAAGCACCAGTTTCAGCCTATTTGCTAGCACTTTTGCTACCAACTTATACAGTACATTGCACAAGCTAATAGGCCGAAATTCCTTAGGGCTTATTGGGGATTTCACCTTCGGTATCAACGCTATTAGCGTATGGTTTAGTTCTGGTGGCATGTCCGCATGGTCAATGATTCCTTTAACTGCTACAACCACATCATCTCCGATTATACTCCAATATGTACGAAAAAACGCCACTGAGAGCCCGTCTGCACCCGGCGCTTTCCGCCGCCCCATCTGCTTCAAAGCCTCGACTACCTCCTCCCTATCCACTTCCCTTGTTAGCATAGCATTGTCCTCTGTTGTCACCTTGCTAGGAATCGAGTTCATCACCGGAGTCGAAATAGGCGGCTCCCCTGCGGTAAACAATACTCCAAAATATTTCAAAAAGCACTCAAACAACCTATCCTTTCCAACATACCATTGACCCGAATCGTCTCGCAATTTTTTTATTGTGTTGCGCCTTCTTCGAGCAGTGGCCTTTGTATGAAAGTAATTTGTGTTTTTGTCACCTCCCTGTAGCCAATCCGCCCTCGAACGTTGTTTCCAGTAGCTCTCCTCGTTATCCTCCAGCTCCGCTAGCTCCTCTTCCAGTTTCCACGTTTGTTCCATCACTATAGGATTGCGTGGCATTCTTTCAAGCTTCTTCAGGAGCCTCTTGATCTTAGCTTTCTGTCGAGCAAAGTTTGGGAACGTAGCGGAGCTCCACAAGTCCAGCTTCTCCCTACATGCTTCGATCTTCCCCAACACTCCTACAGCCCCCGAGTGTTGCCAGGCATCTTCCACCACTTTGTTACTGTCGGCATGGTTTGACCAATAAGGGTCAAAACGAAAACTCCAGCCCCATTTCGGCTCTTCATCTTCTTCCCCCTTCGTTTCACAAATAATTGGTCTATGATCTGATTTTGTTTTGTCCAAATGTTTTACTCTCACATTTGGGAACAGTTCCAGCCACTGATCAGACGCTACAAATCTATCCAGCCTCTCTTCAATATACCCTCCTTGTCTTCGCCGATTTTCCCACGTGTATTTGTATCCCTCGAATCCCACATCACGCAGATTGGAATCAACAAGACACTCGTGGAACTCCATGATATCTCTCGTCTCTCTTTGCTGGCCCCCACTCTTCTCTTCGATTGCTAGAATCTCGTTAAAATCACCTCCACAAAGCCAGGGGCCTTCCCATTGGGATGCTAGCTCCCGGATCATATCCCAAGTATTTTTCTTCTCTCCCGCCTCTGGCCATCCATACACACCTGTAAATCTCCAACAACTATTTTCCGTCTCTGTAATCTTCACATCGATGCAGTGGAGTGAGGCGAACATAATTATCACATCCACCTCCTCCCCCCACCACAAACTAACACCGCCAGCACGGCCACCTCCTGACGTATCCGTCGGCCAACAGTCCCCATGAGCATAGCCGAGCTCCTTTCTTAAAACTTCATTTTCATCCTTTGTTTGTTTTGTTTCCATCAAGAAAACAATTTGCGGGGAAGCTTGTCGCAAAAGCGACTTCAAAGCTCTAACTGCGCGCTTGCTTCCCAACCCGCGGCAGTTATAGCTCAAAAGCCTCATTTATGACCTGAAGGGGATAGGTTCCCCGCACCTTTTTTTCCTTGCATGGTTTGTTCAACTCGCTTTTCTACAGGCTTACCAGCCCCGGGACCTTTAATGTTAGCCCCACTAGTTACTTTGGTTGATTGAACCGGTCCATCTTCTCTCAATCCCTCTTTTTGTCGATCTCCCACTGCATCCTTACTCCCTGCCGCCTTCTTTGAACTTCCATCTCTCTGCACCTCTTTATTTTGTTCCTTATTTAGCTTACGAGCCTCCTCCCCAACCTTGTCCTTTCCATCCTTCCCCATTTTATATGTGTCCTTCTGCTTATTTTTATTGCTTTTCCTTTCCGCACCGCCCTCCTTCATGGTAGTCTCTTTCTCCACATTCATCCCATCACCATCTTCTTTTTGGTTTCCATCGTGCATGTGTTCTGGCACCTCCGGTTCCTTGACATGCAGCACGTCAAACGGGTTATTCGAATAGTGGGTTTTTTGTTTACCCGGGTTTGTTCCTCGTTGATTTGGCCTACGTTCCTTCCTCTTCACAGTCATCCACTCCCCAAAAATACGACCATTAGTAGGGTCAGGTATCTGTTGTGTTTCAGGGACCATCTCGACTTCCTCTTCAACTATTACCGGACTCTCCTGTCGACAGTCACAAGATTCAGTTGGCTGTCCATAGGTGCCACATTCCCCACATATGTTCTCGAGCCCTTCATATTGGATTAAATATTTTATCCCTTCTATCCTGTATTGCGACAGTAATGGTCTTGTTAGATCAATCTCCACACATACTCTTGCAAACTGAGCTCGTGCCCCCATCTCCGTAGCTCGGTCGACTCGAATAGGTTTCCCTATGCGTGCCGCAATGCGCATCACAGCTTCTCTGTTTACAAACTCCACCGGCAATTCAGGAAGTTGTACCCAGACAATTGTCGATTTAATGACCGTTGTCCACGGATTAAATCCCTTAAACCACCGGTGAACCGTTAAGTACGTATCGCCCAATAACCACGGACCCCCTGACGATGCCAACTCATAGTCCAGCTTGTTCTTGAACCTCACCAGGAAGCATCCATTCTTAATGTCAGTAATCTGAATCTCCCCATTCCGAGCCCACAAGTAGTTTAGTCTACGTGACAAAGGTAAAAAATGAACTCTACGCCCTAATCCCTTTACCACCAACGCCGACCTCCACTCTCTCCTCCAACGAATTTTCTCCGCCGCCGTAAACATGATAGTAGGGCACTGTGGATCATTCTCCTCTTCTAGAATATCATCATCTTCTTCCTTCTCATTGGCCGCAACATCTTCCGAATCTGAGTCAGCTACGTACCATCCCTCCTCTACCTGTTGGTGTTTGAACAGGTACGCTGCACCATTATGCCAGCCAAAAGGTTTCTTTATACCTGCCGCGCCTCCAGTCGCTGTCCCAAATTCCGCCTCCGTATCCATCTCCGTTGCCGTACCTTCCAAACCGATTTTCTGTTCCAGGTTCATAGGTTTCACACGTTTCTTCAGCTGCACCGATTCCTTGTCGCTTTTCCCATCCGGTGACGAGGAAACCGTGGCCGGCCGACGAACTCCACTTAAGTCCGGTGGTTTCTCAATCGTGGCCGGAATGGATGGTGACGGCGTCGCCGCCATCGCGCTTGAAGAAAGTCCGACGCTCTTAAAATCGCCTCCGCAAAACTCGGAGAAGACTAGGGTTTTTTCCTCCACAAAAGAGTCATTCATTTCTTCATTTCGCTTCTTTCTTAAAAGAGTCATATTTGACAACTTAATTGCTGGAAAGATTAAAAACAAACATAATTTTTTCCTTTAAAATCATCTATATCCAAACGACAACATTTCAACGATTTCCATCCATTTTGAATTGCTGAGGATTGTCATCAAAGGCGATAGACAATGTTTAAGTTATTCTGAACTCCAAGGACACTCAGTGTAGGATGCAGTTGGTACTTGGTAGTGGCTCCATATTATGCGTATTGTCTTTGAATGATGTTTTCTTTAGATATTGAGTTTTGGGTAGTCTCGAGACTCGGTCTAACTACCCATAGAGTGAAGTGAAAGGTCATTCATTCTAGAGTTTACATCATTTGCTTTCGTTAGTTAAAGGCAATCGCTAATTTTAATATGGTTCCATTTACATCAAGCTTCATTGACGATGAATCTATTGAACTCATTATCAACAACATGCAATTGAGTCATCTCTTTATAGATAGGAGAACTACTTTGAAATTCCCAGCCAGAAAGACCGCTTTATTCTCCTCTTTCATTATTCTTCGTATTGAGTAGAGATCAACCAACTAAAGTTGGTTACAACGATCAGATATCAATAACAGAATGACCGATCAGTCGATGCGACAAAGTAGTACTAGTAGTACTTGTCCAATAACCAACAAGGATCAAACACATGTAAATACTAGACATATGGTGATGACTATGCAATAGCAAATCACTAGAATGACCCAAACTAGGGGCATTTGGGCTTGCCGCCATGGGTTTTGAGCTTGGCATAGCAAGGGCAGACATGCTTGTGGCCGTAAGTTCCAGGAGGAACACAATGGCACTTCTGGCAACATGCCTTGCAGGCTCTGTGGCACACCTTCTTCCTCGACGTTTCCTTGCACCTTCTCTTGCATTCCAACCCACAATCTGCCAACAAGAAGCTCATAAGAAAAGCCCAAAGTGGTGAGCCCAGCCCAAATCTGTAGTTTCATAGGCCCAAATCCAATTACACTTTTGTAAGAAATTGACGATGATGTGGAAGTTGGAACAACTTACTTATCATGACCTTCTTGGCAGGATGGTGATGATGGTTGTGTTTCTTATCAATGGATATAACATCACTACTGTTTTGATTGCCCTGAAAAACCACAATTTGTCAGCTTAATCAACCTTACTTTTAGGCAAATGGAATTAAGTGGGTAATTAATTCATTAATCTCCATTTTTGGAGATGGACTTACAACTAATGTTGGTGAAGAAAGAGTAGCAGCAGCATCATTGCTCCTTGGAGCTGAATCCCCCAACCCCTCAAATGGCTTGACAATACCAGACAGCAGTAAAAAGAAGAAAGAAAACGACTTAGTTAACAACAAACCATATATGATCGATGTAGCATCAATCGACAAAATCGTCGACCCTACATCATCGAGTAATCGGGGAAGCTTGAAATTTCCATTGTTTTGAGAAGTGGACACTTACTTGGAGAAAGAAGAGGATGATGGAGATGAGAAGAACCAGGAAGAGCTTCATTCTTTTTTGCTAGAAGGCCTTCACAAAATGGCAAGAATATGTTGATAAGGTTTTGAGGATATGAAATATATAATGCATGTGACACTAGAGCTATGGGTAGGGGCCAATTTATATAGAGAGGAATCCCTTTTGCATAAGGTTAATTTATATGACATAATGTTGAGTTGGAAATTTGGACTTACTTCCAAGGCTTCTTTTAACTCTATTATCATTTATCATAACAGGAACAAGTATGTGTATTTTTAACATGCAAGACAGCAAATAAGTCACTACAGTGAATGGACCATATGCACTACTTGTGGGTTGTGGCTAAAAAAGCATACATAGGAATAATGGGGACCAATTGCTAGCTCATCGGTGTTAGTAACCTATTCAGTCCCTACGACCAGTTTCGAATCGGAATAATAAAAATATCGTTAATTTGTCAATTCAGATTTCCTTATACTTCAAAAAAGTGATAAATATTCATTTTATATCCAACATTTGCGTATAAATCTTTGTACAACAGACTTTCAATGATAAAGTGGTAAAAAAAAACATTTTTTTCAAACAAGGGTTTGGTCAGTAATACTATCAGTGATATTCAACGTAAAAAAGTCTCGAATTTGAATCGTTTAAATAGCGCCTAACAATAAGTGGCATCTTGGAACTTATTTACATGCATACATGGTGGATTGTTTTGGATGTAGTGTGCGCTTTTTGAATAATGTTGCAAATTCTACAGGTTGGCAAAGTTCGTCGGATTGTGGGACATTGGTGATAATTTTGCATGGGCATACAAAAGTGCTTCCGTGGGTAGGGTTTATATATACAATGGTCCCATGGCCAAGTTGGCCGAAAATGAGAGAGAGAGAGAGAGAGAATCATGCATAGAAAGGTTGGTTATTGGATGCTAATGCATATTTGGGGTGATTAAGCAACATGGAAGCTAGGCAACACATATGAAAGTGGAAATTTGAGAAAAAGGAATGTGAGAAGTTGGCATGTGAACCATGAAAGTGGTCTTGAAGAGATTGGCGATCCAACGGTGGATGAAGCTAGTGGAGAGTGATGAGTGATGATCCCAAGAGGATATACAAAGCTTTTGTTCTGGAATTGTCATGGACCGTGTCAGCGTGTTCGGTAATTCGCGACAGTAGATATCATTGGATAATCATGTTTTTCTGTGAAATGTTATTTGTCTTTTGGAAACAATGATTTGCAAGAAGATTGTAGTTGGTCGTACGAACTACGAGGCGTTAGTTTTAGGAGTTCTGAAATTTTACTAGATGATGTCGTCCAAACTGTTGGCAATCTTGCTGCTATAAGATGGTCCACTGAGATGTCACTCTTGATTCTTTATAGAGATTAATCTTTTTTCGATTGCATGTGCTTTTATTACGGCTTAAAAATGCGCGATTAACCTTACGCTTAGTCATACCTAGGCGCTAGACAATGTCAAAACGCCTCGTCTATGAGTTTCGCGCTTAGTTAAGTGTTTGGAATGAAAAGATTTCTAACATTAGGTACCGGGAACATGTGGATCGGGATTGAAAAATCTTAAAAAGTATTTTTTTTTTTTTGGGCCGGAGATAACGATCACATGTGGATCGGGCTTCCTTTAACACAGTCCGGCCCGCTGAATGTAAGAGCTAGTAAATAAATAATCGGGACGACGTCGCTTTACTCTGATCAGCAACGGCCGCTGAGCGTCAACAGTAAATTAGGACACTTGTCTTTCATAGACAGGCTGAGTTCAACTGTTCGTTGTATAATAATAATAAGCCGTCAGTTACAGTAAATTAGAAATACGACACCGTACTTTGTTAGGGCTGAGAAGATTGCTGAAAAGGACAGAGCCAGGGTTTAGTAAATGTAGCAGGTAGGAGGTTAGGGCTGAAGATGGACGAAAAGGTGGGGAAATTGGAGCTGATTTTGATTGGGGGGGAGAAGAAGACAGCAGCAGGGCGACGAGAGAGATAGAGACAGGATTCATAATTACCACCGTCCACCACACCTACTTAATTGGGCTGGTTTCGCTAATCGATCGGGATTCTCCATTGATGCTACAGTAAATAAGAGTCTGTGGAAAACCTGCCTTTCTGGAATTTTGGGATCCTTTTTTGTTTCTTCTTCTTCTTCTTTCAAACAAAACCAACTCTGCCCTAATCATGCAGTTCTTCCTACCGTTGAAAATTGCATGAGACCATGATTCATGGAAGTGAGAAGGTGGTTTGTTTGCACGTATCGAAAGTCAAATTGTATATGTTGTATGCAACAGGTCGTACTATTTAAGTGGTTTTCAGAACCGGACCGGATGATGATGAACCCAAAAAAGTTAGTGAAAACTGTTCTAGCGGTTAACCGTTACTATAATATAAAATAAATCTATAATACACTGATGTAGGATTAATCATTCAGTCTATCTCACAAAATGAGTCAATTTTTTATATACTAAATTAAAATATGAGGCCAAGAAGGAGGCTAGGAAAACAAAGAAAATAAACATAAATACAATTAGAATGTTCGTAGTTTACATTAAAGTTTTTTTATTTTTTGTGTGTGGCTAAAATTCAAACAAATCGGGGTGGTTCGTATGCTGGTTGGTTGCATGTCAAACCATCATCAATCCGTTCGTTTCATCACTAATCGCACAAGTAAAATGAAACGAACCACTAGTGCAACTTATCCAGTGGTTCTACTGGTTCCAGCACGTAATCCGATTCAGTTCTTATCACAATACTGTATTTAACAAAACGTTTTCACAATTATAAATATATGATCTCTCTCCAACTCGTCAGAAATCAAGTCATCATTCAGCTTCTCCTCTCTCAAAAAATGGAGACTTCACCAAACTACTACTACTCCTACTTCCCCGTCTTCCTCTGCTTCACCTTCATCGCCTACAAAATCCTCGGCCGCCGCCGTTGGATCAACCGCCACGACGATCCTCCCTTACCTCCGTCGCCCACCGCGCTCCCAATAATCGGCCACCTCCACCTCCTCAAGCCGCCGCTCAACCTTTCCCTCCAAACCCTCCTCTCCCGCCACGGCCCGATCCTCTTCCTCAAATTCGGCCGCCTCCCGTCCCTCATCCTCTCCTCCCCCGCCGCCGTCGAGGAGTGCTTCACCAAACACGACGTCGTCTTCGCCAACCGCCCCAAATCCATGTCCGCCGACCACTTCACGTACAACTACCGCTCCTACGTCTGGGCCCCGCACGGCGAGCTCTGGCGGGCCCTAAGACGGTTCAGCGTCTCCGAGATCTTTGGACCGAGGGCCCTCCTGAGGTCCGCCGCGGTCCGGCAGCAGGAGGTCGCCGCCTTGCTCCGCCGCCTCCTGGCTGAGTCGTCTGGTTCCTCGGGAGGTGGCGATGGAAAACTAGGTGTGTACGTCATCTTTCTAAAATATAAATGTATATTTTATTAAGAGAAGTTATAAGCTCCAAACCTTAGTTGGACGCATAAGATTCAACCCTGCATGTGTCGGTTTGTTATTAGTGTACTTGTTTTTCTTGTTTTGAAATATTTACTTAATATTTAATATTCTTGATTATGCTTAATAAATCAAGAATTAAAATATAAAAAAGAAATATGAACTCACTAATAGAAAAAACTGATAAGGTTGGAGCTAAGAATTTTTCTTTTATAGTAGAGACTAGAGGACTGGAAGAAAAGAGTTCGATAACGGAGGCTTCTGCTTCAAGTTTTATGGTTGTTAGGCAAATTGAATAGGTTAAGCCAGCGTAGAGAATCGATTAGCGATTTTGTTTTTCGATTGAGAATTTCGTTTAGTAGTGTAGTAAATTAATTTTACATCAACTAAACAACAAGAAGTGAGGTTTTAGACCAACCTCATTTTTATCAACAAATATGAATTTCGACAACAATCCTAACCATGTGAAATTTTGAGACAAAATTTTAAAAGCAAATGACCCCTTAATGTTTCGACAAGTACCATTTTAACGTGGCAAATTTGATCTCTTATATATATGCATATGAATATTATTATTTTTTTTCCTTCAAAACTTACTTGTATCGCGTGACAATGTCCAAAAACACCTCCTCCAGTCAATCTCAAGTTCATGCTGTCGATTCTGACGGTGAACGTCATGATGAGGGTGGCCGTCGGGTGGCGGTGCGTGGAGGAGGAGGAAGCCGGCACGGCGGAGGAGAGGCGCAAGTTTCAGGAGTTCAAGGACCGGTTCTACCCAAACCTGGGGTTGACCGTGTGCGACTTCTTCCCCGTTCTGCGCGCGATTGGGTACGGCGGGATCGAGAGGAAGATGGTCGGGTTGATGAAAGAGCGGGACGAGTACTTCCGCCGCCTGGTGGATCGTGTTCTGGCGGAGAGGAGGCGGCGGCGGAGGGGGGAAGATTCCGATGATGGAGCGACCGGATGCGGAGAAGAGGTGAAATCGGTGGCGGAGATTCTCCTGTCGCTGCGGGAATCGGATCCCGGATTCTACACCGACGAAGTGGTCCATAGTACTATTTCGGTGAGTAAATACTAAATAATAAACATCAGTCCAATCTCTCTTTGTCTTTTCTTTTTGTCCTTTCGATTCCTCACTAGGAGTTAATGCTATGAAAATGCCAAAGTGGCCCATATGCCAATTCAATCATCCGTTAATTCAGGCAGCTAGGAAAATAGACCACATAGTTAGAAAAAAAGTTGGTTCAGAAATCACTATGTCTAAACGGTGGTTTGTCATATCAGATCGTAGACCTAACTCATATTTCAATTCGTATTAACAGCTCATCACTACTCTGTCTGATCTCCCCAGACGAAATACAAGTCTCTTAACTTTAAATTTTGTAAAATCCCGTCAACACCTTCATTCACAAATCACAATCCGTCAGAGACTGGAGACAATCACATGCTCATATGAAATCATGTTAATAATTTACGACGTTGTGGTGGTAAATCGGGCAGCTCCGATTTTGTCTTTTTTTGTCATTCACTTGGGTTTTAGTGTATCGAAATTATGCATGCATGTTTGGAATTTAGGTTTAAGAAGAAGAAAGAAAGAAAAAAAACATTGTTTTCCTCTCGGTTATTTGTAGGATTTATTCTCATGTGGTGTATAAAATATATCGTTCCAATTTTTTTTTCCTCGTTATGATATAATTGGTCCTGACGTGGTCTGATCTGAATCGTATAGTAGTATCTGGTCACGTCTCTGATTTGTGCTCCATTTCCCCTGGTCTTATTTTTTTCGCGTTATGAAACAGATGATGTTTATCGCGGGGACAGAGACCACCTCGATCACCCTAGAATGGGCGATGGCGCTCCTCCTGAACCACCCACGAGCCATGCAGAAACTCCGAACCGAGATCGACGACACCGTCGGCGTTCACGATCGATTGATCAACGAACACGACATCCCCAGCCTCCCTTACCTAAAATGCGTCATAAACGAAACCCTAAGACTCTACCCTCCAGCTCCATTCCTCTTGCCCCACAGCTCCTCAGAAGACTGCACCGTGAAAGGATACCGCGTGCCCAAGGGCACGACGCTGATGGTCAACGTCTGGGCGATGCAGAGGGACCCGAAGCTGTGGGAGCAGGCGGACGAGTTCCTGCCGGAGAGATTTGAATCAGCACGGCCGGCGGAGGAAGGTTGTAAGTATGCTCCGTTTGGGATGGGGAGGAGGTCGTGTCCCGGCGCTGGGATGGGGATGGGGTTGGTGTGTTTGGCTTTGGGGTCGTTGGTTCAGTGCTTTGAGTGGGAGAAGGAGGAGGAGGCGGTGGTGGAAGATATGAGTGCTGATTTTGGGATTGCTCTGTCGAAAAAGATGGCGTTGGAGGCTAAGTGTGCTCCTCGTTGTGATGTGGTTAGGCTTCTGTCGAATGTTTAAGGGGGGATATGTGGTTTGCTTGTTTTGGATCTGGATGTTTTGAGGTTCCATCAAAACAAAATGATAGTGTACTAAGTAATTGCTAGTTATTGATGAAAAGAATGTGTGACCCTAAAATTATGTAATTCTACAACGAAGAAGAAGGGTTTGGTATAGTGGTAATACCACTAGTCTAGAACCTGAAGGTCCAACCGTCCAAGCGGTTCGAATCACTTAAGTAGTACCTTAATCACAAAAGAGAAACCTATATCACCCATATAAAAAAAAAGTTATGTAATGCTACGTTATTATAGACATCCAATAAAGTTTGGAAGCAATAAAAAAAAAATCTTAGGGCTCGTTTGCTTGTTGGATTTGAAAATGAAGGTTTTGAGTTTTGAAAACCTTTGGATTTATGATGGATTTATTGCATTTTGTATTTGAAAGATAACATTGTTTGCTTAGGTGAATTTTTATCAAGGATTTAGTTCATTTGGTATTTGGGTCTCAAAAATTTGCCTTCCATAGTGTGGTATTTGCAAATACCAAATGAAATGTGGTATTTGAAAATACGTGGGGTCCACGGATTTGGAACTAAAAATAAGATCCAAATCCGTGGGCCCCACGGATTTGTATACCTCAACAAACAATGTTTTTACATCAAATACATAATGCTTGGTATTTGGGTGCCAAATACAACACCCAAATCCTACAAGCAAACGACCCCTTATTGTTAGCAGCTCCTTTTATCAAAAAGCAAGAGAGGGTATTGGATGCATCAATCTACGTTGTCATATTAGACACACTTAATAGGACAACATTGTGTTTTATCATATTACACACACCCTATGTCACGGGTATTGGATGCATCAATCTACGTTGTCATATTAGACACACTTAATAGGACAACATTGTGTTTTATCATATTACACACACCCTATTGTGACAATCTAGAAATGACAAAAATATAAATATTTATTCAAAGCTTATATAAAGCCTATATATGTGTGGTCAACGATGAGCTGACTTTTTTTAAACTCTGTACGTAAAATATATGAAGAAAATGGAATGATGTACATTTTATCGACTTACATGGTAACTGTTGCACGAAATTTAATTTAGTAATATCCTTTTCACAATTCTCAAAATTTAATGGTACCCCACATGGACATTTTTCTCCACTATCCACTAGCTAAACCGGGGTCGAAGTAAACTCGACCTGACCATGAGGTCCTCCGCAGGTGGAGAAGCTCGGGTTGGCACAGGGCATGAGTTTGAGGGAGAGGTCTACGCAGAAGCGAATTTCAATAAGGAAAAACCCCCCAATGGCAGCATCGTTCTTGCAGACGATAGATGGGTTGTGGTCATCCAGAGTCGCCTGGTAGTCCTGGGCGACATAGGTAATTAGGTACCACTCGGAACGATGTTGTGGTTGCTCAATCTGGCCATAATCTTGGTATCTTGCAACAGGGTCATGGCTTCATCAAAGTAATCAGTCACGGACAACGGGGAGCAGCTGCCGTGTTTATTCCACCGATATTGCCAGAAGAGAAAATCCGGACGCAGTTGCTGTGGCATCATCATTATGAGGGAGTTGTACCGGAGATAAATTGGAAAGATAATTCTGTGCGATATGAAAACAGAAATTAGGTAATATATATTAGTCTAAGAAGACCGAGACGAAGATCACAACATTTATTTATTTCTTTATGAATTCTTACGTTCATATATGCCGCTGTTTTGAACGTGGAATCTTTTGATCTTCTAGAGACCATGGAGGCTCAAAACCTTGGGGATGGGGGATGCAGCAAGCGCAATCTTCCACGTGGCAACGCCCGGCTGGCCACTGCAGGGCTAACGTGTAGTAGTCTAGAGCTACATCGAACAGCAAACGGAATTATGTTCACCATCTAATCTCTCATCATTTTTTGTTACACTAATCGAACATGTGGAATAGGATATGGGATACTCTATTTATAATATAGAGCCTTTTAGTAGGTGATTACTGTTTGGTTATATATAATAAAGAAGGCCAACAAACATGCAAATGCATGTGATGAGAAAGATCACACAAAGAACAAAGGCCAACAAACATGCATGCCCCTGTAACTTTTTCTAGTTGTATCATACAATTGGTGCTGCACATTCGGTTATCCCAATGACCGAGTAATTAAATCCGAGTAAACCCGGATGATCATATAATTGTGTGTATTTATGTACCTTTCATTGGGATTAATTAGTGGAGCAAACCTGCATCTTAACCAAAGAAAACGGGCCGTAGATGGGCCAAAACCTGGGCAAGTCAGGTGACTACAGCCATGGGCCCGGACTAACCAACCCAGGCCCCAAGGTTGGCCGCCAGTATAGGCCTCCGGCGTCGAGACGTGCATGGATGGATAGTTGGTGATCCTTGAATTGTCACACCCCATACCTAATTACTAGCTTATTACTTGGTCTTAGCCGGAAGTAATCCTTGAATTGGTACTCTTATTCTAACTGATATTACTAACTACCATATATGCGGTGTCAGTGGTGATGGCCGAAGGTAGACCAACAACACTACAATAATATGATGAAAAGTAATTATCCAATTGTATTGCAAAAGAAACAGTCAAACATAATTACTAAAATGGACAATCCAAATCAAACCATTAACCGTAAATAAAGCCACTATTGCCAAGCATCCTGATGCTCCTAGAGTGAACATGAAAAAACCAAATGAATGCTTACTTGGTTGTAATTCCTAATGGTGAAAATGGAAACCACCAAACGATTTCATAAAGAAAACCCAATATGGATTTCCCTTGGACCAAAAATCACAGTGTCACCAAAGGCGGTGAATCTCAGGCTGAGAAAATCAAAACTAAAAATTTCCAAATCAAGTCGATGGAATGAACCGGCCAGTTTTTTCTTATAAATATTTTTATTAATTAAAATGACAGAAAAAATAAATACAAAGCAGGCAATCTGCTGTAAAAACGCCAAATACAAACAAAAGAATCAGGCAAGCAATATATGTCTGGAAACCCCGGCAGATAACAACTTTTCTCAATACCCCTACCACTGTGAAATCCTACCAAATCACTCCTAATCACTCTGCTACACAAAACACACAAATGACTTACGACACTGACACACTTATACTTTCTATCTCTTCAATTTGTATAAGTCAATCGTCATGTAACCTCTTCATAATCATGATTCCTATCCTTCTCAACAGCAAACACACTGATTGATCCTCTCTTACTCCTCCTTCGAGGCAGGTACATAGCAGTTTACATCAGTGCATATAAATCCAAACGACAATTCCTTGATGCAAATTATGGCTTGAGTTAATATAACTTCATTCATAATACGAATTTACATTAAAGGAAAGAATTTATCAGTATAACAGTCTTGTAAAATTTAGAGTACCAATGGCGATTCCTCTCTTCTCGTCGGTGGCTTTGTAAATCAATTGAGATTGACAGCTACCTCTACCAAAGCATTCTATTTGTTCATAGCATGGTCTTTTATATAAACCGTTTCTACCATACCCATTTTTGAATCAAAACTCCAAGAACTAACTTGTTGGGGCTCTCCTCTAGGTAAACAACTTGTATCAACATCACGCATGACAACACAAATTGTTTTGATCGAGATACTATCAAGATGTCGCTCTGAATAAGCCTAAAGAGTTTCTCAAGCCTCGTCAACACCCAATCAATTTGATATGGGTCATTGCCTCTTATTGTCTAAATTAAAGGCGAGACTCATGGTTAGTCTCTTTCATAGCTTAACTTGACAATTTCTTAGAGGAGATACAACCACTATTCACAATTTCAGAACAACCACCTCATATAATACAATCTTTTCGGAATAACACTAATGAAACACCCAAATTACAATTTTGAACATGTTTCTTTTGAGTGTGTGCATATTAAAAAAAAAACATAAGGATTAAGGGGGGAGCTTACTTGACATGTGGTTTTGATGATCAAAAATCTCGTAATCAAGGTAAGGCGTCAATAAATTCCAGGTGAAGAAGTCCAATCGTCGGGTCTGGGCATGTGTATATTTCAACATGCTATACTACAAACATAGAGAGTTTGGTTTCTCCTCTCCAAGAGGCCATGACAACATATGCTCACCAGATATTTATTCCTTGTAGAGAGAAGAATATCAATCCACCTTTTATATGCTCCAATTATACCTATCACTCGTGCTTTTTATGTTGTAGTAATTAAAAGTGCACTTTGAAATCTGGAGGCAAGTGAACACTATCCTTCATATTGTAAAAACTTATCTACAATAAAGATGTGATTTCACTCAAAAGAAACCATGTTTTATATGTTGAAGATCAACATTATAGCTTGAGTAGTTCAATTCAGCAACGATCTCAGCTCATACATATGAAATCTATATAAAAGTGGTATGATTAAAGCTATTCCTTATGTTAACACTAATTAGAATAGTCTTCTTTACGAGAAACTAACCACTAAAACATTTCAAATTAGAAAAATAATGATATTGAAAAGGAGTATCATAATGTTCTAGTTATGCAACTAAATACTTGCAAAACTCTCTTGAGCAAAATGGAGAGTTGAAATTCTAGTCATAGTAGCATTGATATATGAACTATATAGCCTAAGCAAATCATTAAGTTCGATTATATTTGTTTAATGTTGATTAGATAATCAAAGGCCATTTTCAAATACTTGTCAGAATAGTTATGGCCTATGGCATATAACTAGGAAACTTTGAAGAAACAGTTGAAGTGGAATTCAGTAGAGTTTTCTAATCCGGTTTCTAGTAAATGCAATAAATTCACATACAAAACCATATATGTGTACTCTTCGAATATACCATACTTCCAATGATCTAGTCGTTTGATGTACTTCGATGAATAGTAATCATCGATTATCATTTTTTATTAAATTGATCTTCTCGCTTGGATTTAGAGAAATGGGGTCTGAGGTTTATTATACCCCCAAACTTGGTTTGATTCATGGTATTCATATATATATCAATACGAGTACTCAGAATATTGTATACTCCATAAGTACAATAGTCTGATTCATATATATTATATAATTAAAAACTAATTGAGAATGATTGTGTCATTTTATTGTAATTAATAAAAATTTAAAATACTTGTAAAATTCATTTGGTAATCCCAACTTAATTCTTCATAATTACAATCACAAATTTGAAAGTATGTGGAAATGATGCCAATTTTCGTAATTCCTCAAACACAAAAATATTATATTTGAAATTGCATTTAATATATATATATATATATAATATGTTCACGCAAAGAATTTAAAAAGGGAGAGGGAGAGCTATAACCTATAGCGTGTATGAGAATGCCAATGTATTGGAGTGAAATTAGAATTTAGACCCAAAGATATAAGAAGATTATTGTGGTATGATAATCTCTGATCGAATAAAAATCTAATTAGAATTTGGGCTAATACCACTACAACACCCGAACTATCGCGAAAATGTCACTTGTGTCCTATTGTTTCCAATATTCCATTTGTGTCCTGAACTATGATTCCGTTAGTGTTGACTTTTGTTGACCGTTAGTTTTTAACAAAAAATCTAGTCAGCACTGATGCGGCATCTGACGTGGAATTTTTAAATAATTAAATAACAATTAGAAAAAGCAAAAAATTAAAAATTCCTAATCTATCTTCCCAATCCCAATCCCGAGCTTGCTCCGCCTCTTCCTCTTACCAACTCAATCCGCCACCACCGCAATCATCTCTCAGATACATTGGTTTGACCCAATCCGCCTCTTCCTCTTACCTGAACCAATCCGCCGCCACCAGGTTTGCTATCGCTTCCCCCACCACGAATAACCCTCCCGTCCGATACACTACCATCCACCACCAGTTCGTCATCGCTCCGCCACCACCCAGAACCTCCTTCGAGCAATCCTCCCTTTCCTTCTCCACACCACTGTTTCGCCTCCGTCTCCATCTTAGATCTGTCTCTCCCCAATCCCCATCCTTCCCCCGATTTAGAGATTCAGCAAAGGCATCGTTCAGCCAAGAAGACTCGCGAAACTTTATCGGCGGAGGAGGGTTTCTTATTCCAATTGGAGCGAATCGATCTTTCTCCTTCCTCCTCCGACATCGGTTCTCTTTCGTCGCAAAATCGAATCCATGAGAATCAAGATCTATCACCAGATCTGGGTTAAGACCCCACTCCGCCGCGTCGCCACTGTGAGAAGTCGCTGCCTCATCGAATTCGTCATCATCGATCTTGCTGGCGAGCCTTGAGGCCGGGCCAAAACTTGACCTCATATACATCATCGTCAATGGCACCTTCACAGTGGCGGCTGGTGATGTTCATCTTTGATCCGGAACAAGGAGGAGAAGAGAAATTACTTTCCAAGGAACCCTCTGAGAACTTCCTCGGTCTTCTCGCACTTGCGGAGAAACTTTCCGGGCTCCACCTCCTCCGTCTTGCAGTTCGACCTCACCACTTTCCTCGTCGAGTAAACCTCATCGAACGACTGCTTCTTGTAGGCTTCAATTTGGCCGGCGGAGGACGAAGACTTGAATTCTTCCGATTCATCGTCGTCCTTCCACACCCATCCCATTTTCGGCGCGAATCACTCGCTCCTTTTGCTGTGCACGATCTGTAAGCCTTGGTTGTCTTCCCGCACAATCTAGAAATTTAGCCACCGCCTTTTCTTCGCGATGTTTTCCGGCTGGTGATGTGTCTAGAAATTTAGCCCCGGTTGTCTTCCGGCTGGTGATGTTCGTCTTGGATCCTAAACAAGGAGGTCCGGTGGTGTCGATTTGGGGACAAAGAACAGAGAGGCCAGGGTTTGGGTTTTTGCTGGCGAATGGTCGGGGACAAAGAACGGAGAGGCTAATGGAATTTTTTAATTTTGAGATTATTTTTATAAATTTTAATTATTATTTAATTAAAATATGACGTGGCTGCCACGTTGCTGCCACATTGACCCCAATCTGACGTCATTTTC